CCAAAGTGAGCAAGCGGCAACCTCATGACTTCATCACACAACAGGTGAGCCGGTCCGTGCCAGAATTTATACCAACTTGTCTCAGACCTGCTTGGTTTCGTTGCCAGCTAGAGGTCCCTAACTGCAGACCGGGCAGCTTGCATTAATGTGTGGACTCTGTCGAAGTTCACAGCGCCCGTGGCCCCGGGGGCAGCAGCGGGGGGCACTCAGCTAGCTGCTAGGGCAGTCGCACAGAGGAAGAGGGGCCGGGCTAAAACGGGTTCGAGTGAACATTCTTCATCTCCAATCACTTAGAACTTCAGCAGTGAGATTAATGGTTTCCATGGCAACTGATAAGCCCCAGAGCCTCCAGAAGTCTGGAGTTTTCTCAAAACTCCTCAGGACAAGTGGACCCTCGAAAATGCTAAGATCTGTTGGGCGGGGGGGGGGGGGCAAATGTCTCCCTTTAGCTTGGGTCAAAAATAAACTTTTCTCCTGCCCATTTTGTGACTTTTTGTAGAATAGTCTCTCCTGAGGAAGAGATCCACTTCTTTCTCTTGGTGGTTTTCTGATTCTACACTATTCTCTGGTTCCTAAAGGTAAGAAGGTCCTACAGCTTTTCTGGAATTTTTCTGTTGAGCGTTGCCGTTTGGGGATATGGACGAAGGCTGTTTCGATCGATTTCATTTGTTTCCGCTCCTTCTCTCTCTCTCTCTCTCTCTCTCTCTCTCTCACTGCCTTCCCTCCTCCTCCCCCTCCCCTCATCTCTTTCAGATAAAACATCAGATATCACACAGTTTGTGGATTTGAATGCATCCTTTTAGGAATACTTCCCGGTGAAAGGGACACACTCTGGCAGGCATTCAGTCCTGACAAATGGCAGGTACTTTTCCCCTTTGGACAATATGCCCAGCTCTGAGAGCCACGGGTCATGTTACCCGGGGACATCCACAGCAGCAACTTCCCTGTGGCCTGTTCTCTGAGGGACCACTATGTGAAATAAAGGGTGCCAGGCCACACGAGAAGGGGTAAAAAACATGCCCTCTTTGTTTGTTTTCTTGCTTTGTTTCTTGGTTGATTCACAGAAGTGGTGATGACCAAATGTATAGGCGAGCTGCCACGGCACATGTTCTCACGAATGTGAATAAGAAATAAAGCAATAATTCTGGGAACGTGGTTTGTATTATGCCTATTGTGCTTGGCTTCACATGATCACCACCGGGCATTGGCACGACTCGAGGAGGAGAAGAAGCCGGCCGGGGTGGGGGAGAAGGTCCCAGGCACACTTGGTTTGAGTGGCCCAATGCCCAGGCGCTGGTAGCCATGAGCTGTGCTAGGATTCCTTGTCCTTGTTTGTGAATCCATAGATTTTATTTTCAATCTTGTATGCCATCTAGCCTTTCTCTGTGATATTTAGGATTGCTTTTGTCGGTCTTGGTTAAATAGTTCGGAGTTTAAATTTTCAATAACGAAAGATATTTTTGAAATGCCTTTATTACTGAAAATCCTGCAAGAAAAATAATTTAGTTACGGTGAGTAAGACAGCTTCTAGCTTTTTTTTTTTAACCATCAAAACAATTCTTTTTTAATTTTGTTTTTGATGACCTGAGGCTTCTTAGGAATGCCGTTACAGCTTTGTTGCAAAATAAAGTGTACTGTGAAATCTCAGTTAACCAGATGTCATTTTCTTTTTAAGCAAGTGTTCAATGTACTATATGTACAGAGGACTGGGCTAAGGGTCAGGACACCTGACAATTAGGGCACCACTGCCGATGGAAATATTCCTTGCAGAGACTCTGTCCCTTTTGTTCTAATTCTCTGTACATCAAGTCACCACCTGCCCTTCTCTTTAGCACACCAGGATCCGCCCACTGGGAGGAAGGGCCTTGGGCAAATGACTGGCCCTGATTTTTAAGCCATGTTCCTTCAGTGAGAAATAATTAATTTCATGGAGAGATAGTCCCAATATATTGTCAACTAAAATATCAGTTTGGAAAACAGTAAAAAAAAAAAAATTGTAACAGGTACACCCTAGCCCCAGGATTGGATCAGGGAAGGAGGCTTGGTGACAAAAGGAGAAAGTACAATTGACAGTCACAACTATCCAGAGATGAAGGTGGCTGGGACCAGCACACTGAAGAGAGTGGGAAGTACACAAATTAATTGGATTTTGATTAGTTGGCTTACAGGTCATTGAGATTTTAATGAAGGTTTTAGTAAAAACCCTATTTGGCCTCAAGCACCCCACCTATTCCCATGCATGGACTAGATTCTATCCATCAATATAAGAAGGGGGGGAAGTCGGAGGGGGAGACGAACCATGAGAGACGATGGACTCTGAGAAACAAACTGAGGGTTCTAGCGGGGAGGGTGGTGGGAGGATGGGTTAGCCTGGTGATGGGTATTAAAGAGGGCACGTTCTGCATGGAGCACTGGGTGTTATGCACAAACAATGAATCATGGAACACTACATCAAAAACTAACGATGTACTGTATGGTGATTAACATAACATAATAAAATAAAATTTAAAAAAAAAAGGAGTGGCCAGTTTATTGTATCAGTCAGGATAGGCAAGGTTATATACCTAACAACCAAGCCCATCACCTCTGTTGATTCAAGAGGAAGCTTATTTCCCTCTTCTGCTCCTGCCCAGTCCAGGTCAGCTCAAGAAGAGTCACCCAGGAACCCAGCTGATGGAGGCTCCCCAGCAACACATGCCTCCATGATCGCTACCGTGCTGGGAAGGAAACTTGGTGAATTGTATCACTTTTGTTCACATTTAATTGCCAAAGCAATACCTGTTGTATCAATCAGTTTGGTTGGCGTGAGTCAGTCCCCTAGATAACATTTCACTGATACAGTCTATTTTCAGAACCTAAGAATTTGATGACTCCATTAAGGGAATGCCTCTAGCAAGGTTCTGCCTGCAGTAGGCAATGTCAAGGAACCCCTTAACATTCCATGCCACCTGTGTGTGTGTGTGCGTGTGTGTGTGTGTGTAGACACATAGGTACACCTGTAAAAACCATAGAAGATTCAGTTAAAATGTTTATGGACAACGGACGGACTCTATAAGAGAGTTTTCTGAGACAGAGTTGAGCAAAAAGAAACAGGGGCTTTGGAATCAGATAGTCTTGGCTGTTACTAGCTCTATGACTCCTCAAGAAAAGTTACTCAGCCTTAGCATCCTCATATGCAAAATGGATACAATACCTACCATGTGGTTATTGTAAAACTAAGTACGTAGAAGCATAATCGGCAGTCAGCAAATGGTAGACGCTGTTTAGTTCATTTTGTTTCCAAAAAAAAAAAAAAATAGTTTTGGGATTCTTTGCCTTGTCTTCTAAAACATGGCATATGTAAACATTCCAACTAATCCACATTTCTGATTAAATGGATGCTGATTAATAAACATTTTGTTTAAACTGTATGTATGCTAGCATCCAAGAATACCTTCTCGGATTTCCTTCTGCTGGGACAACTCTGGCTCTCCAGAGTAACTGATTTTATTGAAATGTGGAGGATAGCAGTTCTCCTATCACCAGCTAAGCTTTGGAATTGTGAACAAATTTCAATTTCAAGAGCTATTTATATGCTACCCTAAAGCATTTGACTTTGGACACTGAGTGCTGAGTCAGATCTTAAGATCAGTCAGCAGTGTGTCAATTTTCTACTCTAAATTGTCTAAGACATTAAAAGATTCTGTATCCTGTGGCACTAGCAACTAATACTTTCATTCAATTTCAATTAGTACTTTCTTAAAGTGTTAATACCCATTCATTCTATCATGCAAGCTGACCCCTCCATCCCTTATCACCCGCCCCCCTACAATTTGGTAAGCAATGTGTTTCGATTGCCAATTCCAATTTCAATCAGTCCACGGCTTTGTGGGTGGTAAGTGCCTAAGTCCATTGCATATGACTCTTCAATGCACTTACAGGAATATGGATTCCTTAATTCTCACAATGATACATAAGGAGCAGATCCAAATTTTAAAACTTCCTGCTCTAAGTCCCTTATAGTGTTAGAAGTGTTTGCCTCAGTTCCTAAAAATGCAAATCTAAATCTAGAATGAGCATTTATCTATCCCAGTCAAGATACATGGGTATCAACCTGGAGCCATGGATAATAGGCCAATATAATCCACCTGCCTGCTGTGGGCCATCCTGGATTTTCTCAGTAAGTGGTCCATGGCTGATTTTAGTCTCTGATGTTTTTGTTGACAGGCAGAACACTGTGAGTTCCATTTCTAGTTTATGAGAGAGATAACAGAAAACATATCTTTTCTGTCCTTAAGTGGTACATTTATGACTATGATTATCTTCATTTCTATCCAAAAATTCTTGTTACATTAAATAGGAAATGTAACCTAATAACTGAAACAAACTGAAAATGACAATGACCATAACATTTATGAGTTCAAATTTCATGTGAGCACATGGAAATATTTAGTGAGTGTATACTGGCAACCTCCAAATTACACCTAATAAGATGGCCAAAGGACAGAAAGGTAATATAAGATGATTTATTTTTTTTTTAAAGATTTTATTTATTTTTCAACAGAGAGAGAAAGACAGTGAGAGAGGGAACACAAGCAGGGGGAGGGGGAGAGGGAGAAACAGGCTTCCCGCGGAGCAGGCAGCCCGATGCGGGGCTCGATCCCAGGACCCTGGGATCATGACCTGAGCCGAAGGCAGACGCTTAACGACTGAGCCACCCAGGCGCCCCAAGATGATTTATTTTTCCTGCCTAATGGGCCATTTTATTTAAGTCCCTGACTGTTCCCAATTGGCCAAATCAAGCCATTCTGTTCACTTGATAATTTTTGATAATGGCCGCCAATGTTGTCCGTTGGTCGTCAGTTGGTTTTCTTTGGCTGGTCAGAAATCTTGCAGGTGTGATACAGGGTCCTGTTCCCTTTGCATTCTTGTTGGTCTTCTGGGTGGAGGTAAGAAAGATCCCCAAGATAAAGGGCGTTCGCACTCATTTAGCTGAGTAGCACCCTGTGTCTGTACAGAGATGGGAGAAGGGCTCTTGGGTCAGCTTCTCCTTAAAGAAAGAAAGAAATGACTTAGGCTGGGTGCCTGGGTGGCTCAGTCGGTTAAGCGTCTGCCCTCAGCTCCGGTCATGATCCCAGGGTCCAGGGATCAAGCCCCACGTCGGGCTCCCCACTCATCGTGAAGCCTGCTTCTTCCTTTCCCTCTGCCTGCTACTCTCCCTCTCTCTCTCCTTCTCTCCCTCTCTCTCTCTCTGCCAAATAAATAAATAAAATCTTAAAAAGAGAGAGAGAAAAGAAATGCCTTAGGTTGACCATGGTGTGGGGTGATCCCCTCTGGCAAGGGTGAGGCTCACCATCTCGTCAGTACCCTAGCTTCTCCCCCCCAGGCTGCGTCCATGTAACACTGAGCTCATCATTGTTCTGTAAAGCTGGACGTTAGAATCTCCCGGCTGACATGTAGGACACCCACAGACTATACCCCTGCCATACAGATATCATCTAATGAAGAAAGTAAAATACTTTTGATACTTATGGCACTCTGTAGGATTCTATCATGAAAACAGATCTGAGCCTAAACTCCTCAACTGTAAACCGGGATGAGGAACGCCTACCCTGCCTACTACGGACAAGTGTTTTAAGGATCCAATCAAATAAGAATGAGAGCAAATGTGAGCGGGCTTGAGAAACTTGTCAACCCTGCCCAGATGACAGTCAGTATTATTGAGGCTTGAAACACGCAGTATGCTTCAGCTGACTTTTCAAGCCAAATTTGCTATGAACATAGAGAAGATCTACTTGGCTGTGATCATGTGGTGAAGAGGCAAAGTAACAAAATTACAGGATGGGGGGCCTCAAGATCCCTTCCTTGGCACCTGCCTCTCCAAGAGCCAGAAGGTCCTGCCTTTGAAAGCGTACAATGCCAAGTTAAACTGAGGACCCTGCCACCTCCTCTCTGCCCACTGCCCTCTGCCCTCCCCTCTTCCAACAACACAGAGAGCCCATCCCAACCACAGACCTTCCTGTTCTCTGCTTTCCGCTCCTCTCTGCTTTGTAAGAGACCTGAGCAGTGAATCTGTGTCTCTTCACATAGGCATTTGACAGGTGGTCAACAAGGGAGCAGAACAACCAGCAGGGGAGAAGAAAGGAGAAAAGACAGCTCCCCCCAAATCACCAAAGCAGAATCGGGAGAGATTCTCCATATCTCCACATCCCCTTCCATCCACAGTCCCCACAAGGCCCTAGTGTGATGTTCCTGTCCTTAGGGGCAGTCTGGATTCTTTGGGAATTTTGAGACCCAACAAGGCATGCATGTCTGATACACAGCCAGGTACAAGGAGTGCATGGCATGGGAAACCTGCCTTCTCACCTGTCCTGTGCTTTAACCCTCAGCACCCCTGAAGAATTTGAGGCCATGGGGAAGACGAGCACGTTTCAGTCCTACTGCTCCTCAGCCAAGAAGAGGGCTTGACTCTAAGTAACATCGGCATTCTCTTCTCCGTTGTCTTTTGTTTTCTTCGGGCATATAAGATAGGACTCAGACACATATGTCCCACTGTAAAATGTAGGTGACTCACCATTAGACAAGAACTGGTACTAATGCCTAACTGCTGATCCCGGATGAAGTTATAGACCCACATTTCTGAAACATCAGCCCGAAGAGGGAATGAAGCTTTACAGAGAGAACATGACACATAAAATGGGTCCCTGCCCAGAAGAGCTTACACACTAATACATACACAGGCAGGAGCAAAACATGTTTTTCCCATATGGCATGTTGTTGAGATCTTGCTCTTAATGGTATAAATCTTTGTAAATCCTCCAGATTGAAAGATGAATTGAGGGAAGCTGGTGTGTATAGCAGGAGGCATTTCAGGCTGCCTGTGGATAATGTGACAAGCCCAGAGACTCATGCTCAGAGTAGCTGCATGGAGGGTCCTGCCAGGAGGGGCAGGTGTTGCTACTGTGAAGGATGTCCTCTTAGACTGTCCTCTCTGAGAGCCACTAAGCCTAGGCAGCCACCTGGCCCAGCCCAGGCCACAGCCCACCTCCATGTATCTTCCCTTTCTAAGAAGAGCATGCCAAATGTGAGTTCTGTTGAGACCAGGCTTGAGTTATCATTGTGTTCCCAGCACCTGACACCAAACTGGGCACACACAGTTTGTGCTCAATAAATATTTGTTGTATGAAGAAATAAACTAATTAATGCATCTGCAGGAAATAGCCTTCCTCAGAGAACTTTCCTTACAGGACCAACATGAGCTGCATCCTTGGTCACCTTTATAAATGAGTGTCTTAATCATGGCACACTCACAATGTGTGATCACTGAGTTGTCATTGGTCAAGCGGAAAGAATCTTAGATACCAGCTAGTCTGTCCATTTCCTCTTCCACAGGAGAAACCTGATGGATTCCACCAAGCAAGGAACATCATTATTTGCCAAAAGAGGACCTTATAACCTGAAGGCAAATGATGTCCACAAGCTAGAGTAAGGACCACCAAAAATCTGGCTAAACCTGTTGATGGTCTTTGGTAAGAGGTTTTTCCCAAGTCTTTACGTTGTAAATCCCTGTCTTGTGGTAAATTCTACAAGGTTAGAGAGCATATTCATAGGTGAGAAAGAGATCAGTTTGGATTTTTTTATTTTGGGGGGTTATAAAGATATATGTAGCATCAAGCAATTCTTTTAAATTCCTTTTACTTTTTTTAAAAAGATTTATTTATTTGAGAGAGAGAGAGAGGGAGAGATTGAGGAAGGGCAGAGGAGAGGGAGAGAGAGAAGCAGACTCCCCGCTGTGTGGAGCCCTACGTGGGGCTCAATCTCATGACCCTGAGATCATAACCTGAGCCAAAATCAAGAGTAAGTCACTCAACTGACTGAGCCACCCAGATGCCCTTAAATTTCCTATAAGCTTAACATTTACTGAATAGCTGTTATGTGTAAGGTGCTCTATTAGGGACTCCAGAGGGATCCAAAGGTGGATTCAACATCCCTGCCCCCAGAGGCTCTTGATTTCATGAGAAGACAGACAAGTAGGTACAAATGATCCAGATACATCCTAATACAGGGTAGACAAGGGCAGTCACTATAACAGAGGAACAAGAGAGCAAACAAAGTGGATGGATATGGGCCCAACAGGTAGACAGGGAAGGTACCTTGAAGGGTGGACGGAAATTCAACAGACAGATGGAAGAAACCAAAGGTATTGCACAGGAAGGAATCCACATTAGCTAAAGCAACAGACGGAGGGGAGTATTTTTTATTTTGCACCAACTGTGTGTTGGGCACTTTAAAGTAGAAGCATTTACGCCTCACAGCAAGCCAGGGAATTAGGTGCTTCCATTTTGTTTTCCTTGGGAAGATTAATAATGTGCCAAGTGAGGGTCAAGATTATATAACAATATGGGGCAAAGCCAGGATTTAAACCCCTGAGTGGCTGACTCCAATGTCAGTGCTTTTTCTACCTCAGGAGGCCGGCTTGTAGGGGGGAGGGAGACAGTAGGCATATTCCAGGGACACTAGCTCAGCGTGGTTAGTTCCTGGGGACAAGGGGAGGAATCCCACTTGCGGGAATGAAGAAAATGATAAAGAAGGTTGGGGGGCAGGCAGGCGGAGGGCAAAGTCAGGGCTTTGTGACTGCTCGTTCCTTATGGCAAAAGGAATTAGGATGAGTCTCAAGACTCAGGGCCCAGAGGAAATGGGGGTTCAAGTTAGAAGACGTGATAGTGGAGCAAGATGGCAGAGAAAATAGATGACACAGTGGGGGGAGCAGGTGGAAGGCTCAGCCTTGGAAAGAATAAAAACTGGTTCTTCCCCAGAGCGGGGTGGGGGGGGGGTGCAGGAAGAGAGGGAGACATGATCTCTGTTAAAAGGCAGAAGGGAAGAAAGAAGTCCCTGCAGCATGCAGGGCCAGATTTCTCAGCCAGTCCGGGGAAGAGGCCTGTCCCGGGGAGGCGAGGCGAGCGGGGTCAGTCCAGGCTGGAGCCGAGTGGGAAAGATTCGCAGCAGCTGTCGCGGCAATCTGATAGGGAGCTAAAAATGGAGCGAAAGGAAGATGGCCGAGGGCACAGAGTCCGACGGCAGCAACAGGCTGTGGGTCCGATTACTTCACGAGCTCGGCATCTCCTCCACGGGACGCAGGAGTTTGGGATCCAGAGCGGATGAGAAGACACACTGGAAGGTCAAGTGGGGAAGGGAATGGGGTACCTTTGAGAACTTCGCCAAAATGGCTCACCAGGCCACCAGGGAATCCAAAGGCAACAGGGAGGGAGGGAATAGATGCAACCAGGGTGGGTCCAAGATGCCCCCCGAAAGAGGGAGGGCTCCCGGGGCCCCAGTGCCAGCCAAGAAGAGGTTTAGTAGGAGGGAGGAAGTGGGACCACAGAAGGACACAGGTCCTGGTGACAGAGGGCATTTCAGAGATGAAGACTCCAAGGATGGAGCCTCCTGCGGGGTGATGAGGTCCGGGGTGTGGCTGGGCACTGCGGAGAGAGATGCAGGCGACAAGGAGGTGAGGGAAAAGGATGACCAAAGGATGCCCCACAGGCTGGGCAGGGAGGGAGCAGGAGAAGGACCGGGAGCCAGGTGTTGACACCATGTGCCAAATGCCCAGCAAGGGAAGTGGCTGAATGCGCCCTGGACAAATTCAAAAGGGCGAAAGAAAAGTCGCCTTGTTAAAAGGGAAGTTCAGTTTGATTTCTAGTGAAATAGTGTCATAACACCCCGAAAAGGGTAGGGCAAGTAAAATAGGCTTCCTAGGCGTCTCACAAAGCAGACGAGGTACAGTAGGAAACCACACAGTGCAAAGGGAGGTGAGGGGCAGTGAAGGTGGGGTGCAGTGACAAAGAACAGTACCGTGGGGGCCACAGGGGGGCAACCGCAGAGCTAAGGTTCAGAATTGGAAGGTATCCATCCACTCGTCTGACACTCTGCCTTAAACAAAGCCAACCCATCCATCTCTGTGGTGTCCAGAGCTCAACTGAAAGAGCCCAGAGGCATACCAGCAGTATTCCCTGCAGGCATCCCAGACACAGACCCTCCCACCCCCGTGGC